TGTTTCCTTTGTAATAAAGTGGGATTCATCCGTTCAGAATGCAGGAAGTTGCATGGGAAGCCCTCGACCTTAGTGGCGTTAATGAGTGCAAAAAGAGAACTCAAAAGGAAAACATAGAAGCATAGAAGATATGAGCAGGAGGAGGCCATTCGGCCCTTCGAGCCTGCTCCACCATTCTTCACCATCATGATTGATCATCCAACTCAATAGCCTAATCCTGCTTTCTTCCCATTACCTTTGATCCCATTTGCCCCAAGCGCTTTGTCTAGTCGCCTCTTGAATACATTCAATGTTTCGGCATCAACTACTTCCTGTGGTAATGAATTCAACAGGCTCACCACTCTTTGAGTGAAGAAATGTTTCCTCATCTCTGTCCTAAATCATCTACCCTGAATCCTGATACTGTGACCCCTGGTTCAGGACACACCCACCATCGGGAGCATCCTCCCTGCATCTACCCTGTCTGTCCTGTTAAAATTTTATAAGAGTTTATAAGAGTCTATGAGATCTCCCCTCATTCGTCTGAACTCTAGCAAAAACAATCCCAACTTAGTCACTCCCTCCTCATACGTCAGTCTCACCAACCACAGAATCAGCCTGGTAAACCTTCGCTGCACTCCCTCGAGAGCAACAGCATCCTTCCTCAGAAAAGGAGACCAAAACTGCAGACAGTATTCTAGGTGTGGCCTCACCAAGACCCTGTGTAACTGCAACAACACATCCCTGCTCCTGTTCTCGAAACCTATCGCAGTGAAGGACAACATACCATTTGCCTTTTTTACCTCCTGCTGTACCTGCATGCTTAACTTCATTGACTGGTGCACAAGGACACCCAGGTCCCGCTGCACACCCCCCTCTCCCAATTTATAGCCATTCAGGTCATAATGTGCCTTCTTGTTTTTGCTTCCAAAGTGAATAACTTCACATTTATCCAAATTATACTGCATTTGCCATTGATTTGCCCACTCACCCATGCTGAAGGATCTCTGCATCCTCATCACAGTTCACCCTCTCACCCAACTTAGTATCATCTGCAAACTTTGATGTGTTACATTTTATTCCTTCATCCACATCATTCATATATATTGTGAATAGCTGGGGTCCCGGCACTGATTCCTGTGGTGCCCCAGTAGTTACTGCCTGCCAATTTGAAAAGGGCCCATTAATTCCCACTCTTTCTTTCCTCTCTGCCAACCAGTGTGCAAAAATGAATAGGGTAGGTGAGGAAATATCAAAGGCTTTTATCTATAAGGATGATAGCCTCTTTCTGTTCAAAAGCCAAGCCCAAAACTATATTAAAGGACTGTTCAGATTCTTTTGCTGGAGAAGGATTTAATTTTTTATCCAAGAGAGTTCAATGAAAGCTGAAGTGTTAGTAAATGGCATAAGTTCCATTGGACAAAATTCAGTGTAGTGTAACTTGTCTCGATTGGCGGTAGTGAGGGTAGTTAAGAAATTATCCTTGGACAAAATTGATTTACTCCTGGGGAATGATTTGGCTAGAATGAAAGATTCATCTATTATTGCAGAAAGTGTGAGGCAAAATAGACAGAATAGTTCTACGAGTAAGTTCCAAGTATTTTTCCATCATGTGTGGTGACCAGAGCAATGGCTAAACAAAGTCTATCACCAGAGGTCTAAGTAACACCACAAGTAGATGTTAGCATAACTGAAATTCTCTTTAAGAATGAGGATAATTCAAAGAAAGTTTTTTGGCATGTCTTCATTATTTAAGGCTCTGGAAGTAGATCCAGCGTTAAAGACATTATCACAGTCAGCGCACACAAGTTGAGGTTGAAGGGATTCCAGGGTGCTGTCATATTGCAGACAGAGTTCTGATGAGGAAACCGAAACATCCTCACAGATCTGTGCGTGAAGAATGGATGGTTGTTCATCCAGTCATGGTACCAGCCAAATAGTTGTTCCAAATGCTTCAGCCTTACATTTTGCACTGATGTTTTGTGCTGTCCCTTCACTGGCAATGAGTTTATTTGTGGAACCACCTCCTCTAGTGAGTTGTTTAATTGTCCACCACCATTCGCCACTGGATGGGCAGGAGTGCATAACTTGGATCTGATTCATTGGTTATGAAATGGTTTGGCTCTGTTTATCACTTGCTGTTTATGCTATTTGCAAAGCAAGTTGTCCTGTTATGTAGCTTCACCACATTGACGTTTCATTTTTAAGCTTGCTGGCACTGCTTCTGATATGCCTTCCTGCTCTTTTCATGGAACCAGAGCTTGATCACCTGGCTTAATAATAATTGTAAAGAGTGAATGTGCCAAGCCCTGGGGTTTCAGATTGTGTTGGGAGTACAGTTCTGCTGCTACTGATACTCCACAGTGCCTGACGGATAGCCAGTCTTGTGTAGCTAGATTCAAAGTCAGTTCCATTCAGCAAGGTGGTAGGGCCACACAACACAACAGAGGGTAAGCTCAATGTACAGATGAGACTTTCTCACCTCAAGGACTTCTGCTGATGCTGTCATGAACAGATGAGTTTGCAGTTGGCAGGTTGGTGAAGACTGTTGCAGTTTGTTTTACCCTTTTACTGATTCTTCATGACCTGTTACAAGCCTAGTCTAGCAGCTATGTCCTTTATGAGTCAACCATCTCGGTCAGTCATGGTGCTGCTGTGCCACTCCTGGTGATGGACATTCAAGTTCCCCATCTAGACTATATTCTGTGCCCATTGCTACCCTCAGTGCTTCCTCTCTGCAAGTGTGCTCAACATGGAGTGTTCTGTATGGGCTAGAACATAGAACATTACAGCGCAGCACAGGCCCTTCGGCCCTCGATGTTGCGCCGACCTGTGAAACCAATCTGAAGCCCATCTAACCTACACTATTCCATTATCATCCATATGTTTATCCAATGACCATTTAAATGCCCTTAAAGTTGGCGAGTCTACTATTTTTGCAGGCAGGGCATTCCACGCCCTTACTACTCTCTGAGTAAAGAACCTACCTCTGGCATCTGTCCTATATCTATCACCCCTCAATTTAAAGCTATGTCCCCTCGTACTAGCCACCACCATCCGAGGAAAAAGGCTCCCACTGTCCACCCTATCTAATCCTCTGATCATCTTGTGCAGTGTATGGTAATAAGCAGGTTTCGTTGCCCATGTTTGACCTGATTCTGTGAGAGCTGATTGAGTCTGGAGTTGGGTGTTAAGGACTTCCAGGACAGTGCCCTGCTGACTTTATACCACTGTGGTGCTGCCTCTGCTGAATTGTGAATGTGATGTAAAAAAAACTTTGGACCAAATTTGTTAATAATAAAGTTATTGATTGATCTTGATTTAATCAAAGCACAATCACTCCCAGGTTTATATTAGTGTTTGCAAAAGACAGTTTGGCACAGCTTCTTTCAACAATCAAAAACAGAGATGAAATGCAAAAAAACGTAAAATTGCAAGAAATAGTGATTTCCAGCTGTAAGCCTACAAGTAGAATTTTTTTGGCTTGAAGACAGCATTCTGTTACTGGAGAACACTGCTAGTGTTTATGAAACAATAAGCTTCACCTATTGCTCAGAATTTAGACAACTTTCCCCTTCCAAGGTTATTCGGGCACATAAGGAAATAGGAGCAGGAGTAGGCTATTTAACCACTCTAAATTGCGCCACCATTCAACAAGATCATGGGTGATCTTCCCCAGGCTTCAACTCCTGTTTTATGCCAGCTCAGGGTAGCCATCAATTGTTTTATATTTCAGAATTCTAGCCTCCAAAACACTGTAAGGTAGAGAATTCCAGACATTCATTACTGTCTGGGAGAATAAGTTTCTTTGCACCTCAATTTGAAGTAGACTGGGTACTCCTCAAGACCAAAAGTGGGGCCTGAAGCCCAAACAACAGCTTGGCAGGTAACCATTCTGCATGTGTTCTCCAGGACAATCCTCTACCTAATCCATTTGCCAACTGTTCACTGCCCTCTTCTTGTGCAGTATAAATCCCTTTAAGAGTTGTTGTTCTTGCAGTTCTGTCCTGATGAGTGCAAGACAAAATGCTTTGACAGTGTGTCTTTTTCTGAACAATATTAATCAGCAGTTAGTTCCACGGAGATCGGTACTGCGTCCACTTTTGTTGTCATTTATATAAATGATTTGGATGAGAATATTGGAGGCACAATTATTAAGTTTGCAGATGACACCAAAATTGGTGGCATAGTGGACAGTGAAGAAGGTTATCTTAAGATTACTAAGATCAATTGGGTCAATGGGCTGAGAAGTGGCAGATGGAGTTTAATTTGGTTAAATGCAAGGTGTTGCATTTTGGTAATACAAATAATGACAAGATTTATACTATTCATGGTAGGGCCCTACGTAGTATTGCAGAACAGAAAGACCTAGGAGTTCAGGTGCATAATTCTCTCAAATTTGCATCACAGGTAGATAGGGTAATTAAGAAGGCATTTAACACGCTTGCCTTCATTGCTCAGACCTTTGAGTATAAGAGTGGGTGGTCATGTTGAGGTTGTGAACAACATTGGTGAGGCCTCTTCTGTGGTACTGAGTGCTGTTCTGGTCACCCTTTTATAGGAAGGATATTATTAAACTGGTGTGGGTTCAGAAAAGAATTACCAGATGTTGCTGGGAATGGAGGTTTTGAGATATTGAAATGGACTGGAAAGGCTAGGACTTTTTCCTGTGGAGCATAGGAGGTTGAGGGGTGACCTTCTTGAGATTTATAAAATTATGAGGGGGATGGATAACATGAATGACAAGGGTCTTTTTGCTAGGATGGAAAAGCTAGGGGCATATTTTTAAGGGGGAGGAGAAAATTTAAAAAGGACATGAGGGGCAACATTTCGACACAGTGGTTCGTGTGTGGAATGAACTACAGATAAAGTAGTGGATACAGGTACAGTTACAATGTTTTAAGGACACTTGGATAAGTTCATGAATAACATACTACTGTATGACTCTATTGAAGCACTAATTGATGTTTAGAAACTTCAATCAAAATTCTATAATTTGATGTTTCTTGTCCTGTAAACAGTGAAAAAATGGTGAAGAAACTTACATCGCCACAGCCGACGGGACACACCACAGGGGCAAAGGTTCCAAAGACCACCACAGAGGGCACAAAACCTGCTGAGAACAGAGATGGAAGGAAGAAAGAGCGTCAGCCCCGGACACCACCTCGGAGGTTTGGTAGACATTTAGATGGATTATTGCTTTCAGATAAGATCACTTATAACTTAATGTTGTTAAACTCAAAGCAAGTCACTGAAATGAGGCTGTGCAACAAACTGTTCTAAAATTGTCTCTATTTTGTTTGGTGCTGTCACAGAACCAGCTACCAACTGATCTGTTGTTGGAGACGATTAGTTAGTGTTCTCTGATCAAGTTTCATTGAACCCCTCCATTAGTGCCGATTAAGTAGCTGGTATAATTCCAGGTTTTTTGAAGATTATTCCTGATATAGTGTCATACAGGACAGAAACAGGCCCTTTGGGCCAACTTAGTACAAGGTGCAAAGAAAATTACAGCACAGGAACAGGCCTTCGGCCCTCCAAGCCTGCACTGATCCTATTTTCCAAGGATCTGTATCCCTCTGCTCCCTGCCCATTCATGTATCTGTCTAGATACATCTTAAATGACGCTATCGTGCCCGTCTCTACCACCTCCGCTGGCAACGCGTTCCAGGCACCCACCACCCTCT